TTAAAAACCTAGAGTAAATCGATGCCTATGCGTTACCGAAAATGAAGTTTAGTTTATTTTGGACTAAACTAAAGCGATATCTTTTTAAATTCTCGTTGATCTTCCGCTTACTTTTGATGGGTTATCAAGGTGGCATTTCTATCAAATTTATAAAAGGTTTTGGACTACACATGAAAAACGCAAGTAGCGCACAGACATTTTTTAAAGTTCGAACGCATGCATCTCGAGAACGATAAGAGAAAGATAGAGACTTGAAATTTTTAACAAATATGTAGGTAAACAAGTTTTATAATGCTTAAACGTTTCAGCCTCACACAGTGGGCAATTTTCACTAGGCACGTGAACTTTGGCCTGCGAGCTAGAGGAAAATTTAAAAGTGCGTTTTATATTGGTTATCTTGTGTGCTCCACCTAATCGAATGCTTTTCGAATTCTAAAAAGGGTTTTTAAGTGGTTTTCCAGAGATCCGATCTGTAGAAAGCCACTTAGAAAACCTTTAAAAAACTCGAAAAAAATTGCATTGGATAGAGAATTATCGATAACCTATTGCAATAGTATTTAGACGATTTCATCTGTTGATAATTTTAAATTGGTTTTGGAAAACCTATAACTCGGTCCAGAAGCGTTTGGGCTAGTTTGTGCTATCAGTATATATGTATTGTTAATAGGTCTACCTTCGGTAAAAAATTCGTTGAATTTGAAGCGTCGGAAAAAATCGGAAACCGATTATACTGAGCACATATTTTCGGAAAACACGTAGCAAAAAAAGAAAGCTAATTTTCTTGGTTATGGAAAAGCTAAAACAGATGTCTTTTACGAATGGATAGAGCAAAATGCCTAGTTTTAGACGATGTAACATTTTATTAAATATCGTCTATTGTCTGTCGCACAATGATTTTCTATCTTAATCGCCCTGTTTTCCTAAAATAATTTCATCGTCGATTTTTCCGCTAGAAATGACACCTAGAAAAAACTTTGCAATGGAAAGTTATCTAGTATACGCCAAAGTATATGATATGCTATTCAAATCTCGAAAAATCTCCCTTTCGTTTTTTCACCTAAATATGACATGATTGCCCGTTGTGCCTCAACCGTCTATCTGTTTGCATTTTATGAGTAAAATACTGGTCGGTAATGCATAGACAAAAAAGACCCTCTTCTCTTGATAGATGTGAAAGAAGTGATAAACCCTGCGAACTATTCCATGTTCATGAATTGTTCGAGAGAGGTTTTTTGTAGCTGAAAATCAGGGTTGTCTTTTGCTGAAAAGAAAACATTGATACCTTGAAGGACGATTGAGTTATTGACAAAACACTAGGATCTAAAACATGAAAATCAGCTAAAAAGAAAAGAAATTCAAAATCAGAATACTTTAGAAGGAAAAAGAGCAGAAATGAGGCAGAAAAAATCCCAAAAAGCATAATTTTTGTGCCAAAATTGGGATCATATATTTATAGAAGGAAAGCACAATTCGTTTTAAATAATATTACAGATTTGGACGTTTTGGAAGGCGCTGTCCAAACCATGTAACAGAATTACTAACTTGTACAGACGTTTGCGCTTTGTCTGATTTTAAAAGTTTTGCACGGCGGCAATTTCTATTCGCGTAGATAAACTGATTAGGTAGACAAATGTCGAAAACAAAATGTCAACAAGTAAAAATGTCGATAGGGTAAAATGCCGACGTATAAAATAATGTCGAAAACTCTATCATGATATAGAAAAATCGCGTAGCATATGCTGTCATGTATTTTTTTTCTGTTTGTACATTTTCTTTATGCGTGTTGGCCTGGACATAACTAAATACGACTTTTTTCGAATTTATAGTGAAATGTCCTTACCAAAATATTCTTTTCTTCTCGTTCTTTAGTAATCTCTTTGTACAGTATAGACGAGAACATTCAAGATGATTTCCCTTGTTTCTTTTTCGTTCGAGGTAATTCTCGCCCTTCTCTCATATATAAACGGTCGTCATTTGTGCACTTAACATCATGGTAGTGAACATCTCAGAACGGTGAAGATCTGAGCTCAAAATAAATACAGTAATTCTATTTACATGTCTTAAGTCCATTTCACTCAATTGCTGTGTACTTACGCTGATGTTATCATCATTCAATTTATTCAGTTTTTTGTGTTAGTTTTATATAGGTCATACCGTAGGACACCTTTGTCACTATTTTATATACAGGAAATTGTAGCGCGAGAAATTGCCTATCGAATAGTATATCTATCGTAGTGGCTAGTTTAGAAACGTTGATCATAGGATCCTCATCGTGGAATAAGCCACCCACTTTTCACGCCTTTGCAGAAAGTATTTGTAATGTGAAGGTGTCCTGGACACTTTTCTCACTATCCTATATATATGCACTTTTTATTTTGCTTTTCCTCTTGATTCCTCACATTTTTATGTTTTACTTTCTAGCATGCTTAGAGAAATCTTGGTTTCTATTTTCTCCTTCTAGTGTTTTTTCTTGAACATCGTAATGAGGCCTGGCCTCGGTTTTGTTCTCTAGTTATATTTTACAAATAAAGGTTATAACAACCAGCCACTACGATAGATATACTATTCAATAGAGAATTTCACGAGCTTTAAAATGTGCTATAAATAAGTCTTAAATAAATAATGTTTTGAATAGCCCGACGATTTTTCTAACAGATTAGGTGCATATCGGTCTTTCACGAGAAAAGCTGATAATAGAGCTTCGGGAAAACCTGAAAACCGCTGAAAAACCAACTGCTTAGCTTTTAGTGAGGAAATTTTGCAAACCACATAGCCTGGTAGAGCGAAAAATTCTGAGCAAAATAGGACTTACCCGGCATTTCTATAATGCTTTTTTACTGGAATATTTTGGTAACTTTCTCGACCTTTGTGGCTAGTGGTAAATCGACCGCAGTTGCGCGAAAAAGCGCTATACAATGCCGGGCGAAGTCCTGTTTTGCTCAGAATTTTTCACTCTGCCAGGTTATGTGGTTTGCAAAGTTTTCTCACTATCCTATATATATGAACTTGTAGCGCAGGAAATCGTCTCTCGATTGGTGTATCTGTCGCAGTGGCTAGTTGAGAAACGTTGATCACAAGATCCTCACGGTGGAATAACCCACCCACTTTTCACGGCTTTGCAGAAAGTATTTTTAATGTCAAGGTGTCCTGGGACACGTTCCCACTATCCTATATATATGAACTTGTAGTGCAGGGAATTGTCTGTCGAATAGTATATCTATCGTAGTGGCTAGTTTAGAAACGTTGATCATAGGATCCTCATCGTAGAATAAGCCACCCATTTTTCACGGCTTTACAGAAAGTATTTCTAATGTGTCAAGATGTTCTGGGACACTTTTCTCACTATTGTATATACGTGAAATTTTAGCGCAAGAAATTCTCCATCGAATGATATATTTTTCGTAGTGGTTGAATAATAAAGGGTGTCATAGATTATCTTAGACTTTTTGCGCACAGAAGATTATTTTCGATAGACGGAAGTATTTCTAAACATACTTGGCCTCAGAATGACTATTTCCGTATATGTAATACACAGAAATATAGCGCGGAAAATGAGCTTGCGAATGACATATAATAGTTCTACTAAGGTATGAAGCCGAGGAAGATACACTCGAAAATATCATCGATAATACGTATCAGAAGTGATTATAGTTAATTGGACCCAATTTTTTCTGAGAGGATTTCTAAGGTCTGTCGAGCAGCTAGAAATGTTCTCCTGTTCATTCTGCATCTAACCATGTATGTGTCGATGGAATTCAAGCAGGGGCCGATTCCATCAAATAATCTTCCAAGTTGAATTTTTGAAAACCTTGGTCGTGTACTATCTAACATGGATTGATACCGAGAGTATTCTGCAATCCTGGGAAATGTATCTTCTTCTACCCTCTTCGAATCGAGCGGATGTGATGCACAGTGCGCAGAGTAGAGTTAATGATCATCACATAAATATTTTTTGCACCGAATACACTCACGTTTTTGTTAGTTATCTGGAAGTCCTAGGACACCATCCACATCCTATTCGTTAACTCTTTTCAACTAACATAAGTTTCGATTGTTACAGCAATGGGAGCAGCTCATATCAGAAGCGTAAAAACAACTAGAAAGGCAAGCTAAACATGTAAGGAACGAAAATTCGAACTGTTGTAGGCCATAACATCGTTCTGGAGTAGCATGCCAGAAGCTGTTTATTTTCAGCAAATCAATAAAGAGAAATAATAATATGAACCGTTAACTTATTGAAGATTGTCTCTGGTGGGATCCTGTCGTTATAACGTACAATTACCGTACCGATGTTCAGTCAAATTTTAACGGATATATAAAAAGTAGTTTGACTACAACGATCATTCACTATGCAAAATTTCGTTGATGGGTGGCTGCTGTCGGTGTACGTTTTAGCCAGATTCTGTGTACACTAGCTACACAGCATGGCTGAGTAATTTGAGAATAGTTTAGACTAGCCTCCGTTCCAATTATAATATCGTGATGGCGGTTTTGTTTGTTGTGGTGTACTTGTTGATACATCTTCCCACTGACTTCTAGACATTGACTTATGTTGATAAGGCGGGTTATTATGGAGGCGTGGATGACATTTGTTATATCTATTTCGTTTATATCTTGTGTTTGCTTCTAAGTAAAAATCATTGAACAAATATAACATGGAGTTAAGAAGAGTAACGTTCTGTTTCATAATTTTTACAGAAAGACGATAGCTGTTAAAAGTACCTTGATGACTAAAATTTTGTTTATTCGGTGATCTTTTGTTGCATGTTTCAACATTAACATCGGAAAAACGAGTCCAATTTGATACTGCTACTTCCTAAACAAAACACAACCCATGAAATCGATTACAAAGTATGATATAGTTTTTCTTAAAAAGAAATAATTTCAAGAGAAGAAGAATATGTTTCCAAGATATTTTCTCTAGACTAACACAGTTCTACGCACGATTTTTGGTAGATCTTTTAATTCAAATTTTAAGATTGAGATATTGGTTGTCTTTGTTATAAGTTCTTGAACTTTTTTTCAATATTTTTGTGTAAATCACATGCTTTTTGTTGGTGTTTTGTTATCACCGATCTAATAAAATCGGAATCAGCATGAGAAGTTTCTCCGTCTTTTATAGAATTAGCAATCAGAGTGTTGGTTCGATCCAGTTCTTGTTGATTCATTTTTTTATACTCCTTCACCAAATCATCTATGTGTGATTCAGCTGTTTCAACGTCATCTAATCCACTCTTGTATTTTTCTTCTATACTTTTCATTTCTTTTTCTTTCCATTGATTAATATCTAGAATTGATTGCTGTTTCCATTCATTAAGTTTTGCCTTAGCTGCGCTTGTCGATTTCTTAGGTTCGTTAACACTTTGTTGAATTTGGTTTAACTTTTCTGCATATTCATGCATATTTGCTAGCATCTGTTCGTTATGCGCAGTAAAATGTTCGAAGCAAACAGAATGTGAGCAATGGTAACAAAACGCCTTCGGTCTTTTTGTACATTCTGTTTCCTGGCACTTTGTGCCGGTATGTACGGAAACCTGTTCCATATTTGTCGTTATATTCGTCAGGACTGGTATGTGACGTGGGACCAAAACTTTGGTCTCTCTAAATGGAAGTTACGATGCATTGATTTATTGTTGATCACATCCACAATATGCTTACTTTCCGTTTATGTAAAATACTTTGTTGTAAAATGGCTTTTCTAAGATATTACAAAATTCAAGTCTTTACCTGGTGTGTTTAAACACCGTGTTATCTCCTTTCTTTTTGTTATCATAAGTAAACAGAAATAAAAGAATATCATGTAAATGAATACTTTATGAACTTAGTCGTTCTTTTGTCAGAGCTTCACATGCAGAAGTTGCATTTTCAAGATCATTTAAGATTAAAATTCGATTGACCATTCGCGTTCATAGTAGGTGAAATAATTATTTCATTTTAGAACAAAATAATATTTTCCTATCATCTTGTTTTATATAATTTCCTTTTAATTTTGATCAATTTGTTGTTTTGTAGTTTCTCCATAAAGTTCCGACAAATACACAATTTAAACAGTATAAAGATTTGAAGTTTCTTTTATAGTTGTTATACGGCTAGAATGAATTCATCCATTTGCGTAAACCCCCCCCAATAATAGAAGCCTCCGGGGCTTCTAAACTGTCAAAGTGTTCAAAATTTTTAGGGGGGGCTTGTATTATGAAGGGGCTACTATTACGACTTTCGTACAAAAATTTTCAGAAAAAAAAGGAGATTTTGAATTTCGATGCTCTTGCCTTTCTATTCACGGTAATCTCAATTAATCTGAAAAAAATCTTTTTCGAGATAAAAAATGCAAATTTTATGCGTTTCCTTTTTTTACACACGACATCACACAAGAACAATTAAAGTAAAAAAACGCGTGTCGATCAAATGTGTCGTTTAAAAAATTGAAATTATTTTTCCGACGTATTAGGAGCCCTTGGGCTTCTAATACACCTTCCACATCGATTCCTCCAGAGGGGGCTTCTAATATGGGGGAGGCTACTATACATCAATTCTTTTAAATATTCATCTTATTCTTCATTCTGCTTGACAATAGGAATATCCTGGTATATTCTTAGTCGAGTGATCAACGATCAACAATGACCGAGCAATTTTCTGCATTACTTTGATGAAAGGAATCTAGCAAGACATGTGGCTTTTTATCTTGATTACATATTGACCTGCACTTTGAAATGACTTTGTCGTTTTCAGCAAAAAGTGCATAACAACAGGTTTGCTTGCGTTAGATAAAAGTGCCTTTTGCTCTGTCAGAGAAAAACTCAAGAGCATCAGCGATACATTAGAACAGAAAGTGAAGAAATTTGTTGCACAACATATCTTAGCAACATAAACGTCAGGTGCGAAATAATGAAAAACCAAATAACGTTCCTTCTCTTTCTCTCTCTCCGGCAGGAGAAAAGCTTTAGTTTAAATGTTGTCTATCTAATTTGAATCACTCTGCCACCTTTAGGAAAGAAGACGAGAGATATGCATGTCGGTTTTCTCGGACAGTGGGTTAAGAAACTGACCTACTAAAGAAGAACCTTTCTGCGATATCTAGTCTCTCTCGGATGTTAGAACCGATGTGCAAGGAAGCCGATTAAACAACATATCGTTTCAAAACCAGTAATATTATTAGGTGTGATGACAAGGGTACAAATTGATCTGATTGACATGAGAACCAGACCAGATCAGACACAATAGTTCCCGATATCGTTTATAACTGGATTTTAAATGTATCGACGATTTCAGTAAATTTTCTTGGACATTTTCGTTGAAAAACAAATGTGCTAACGATGTTGCAATGAAATTGCGTGAATTGTTTTTTGTTTTAGGAACACCACGATCGCTTTACAATGATAACGGACGTGAGTTTGTTGTTAATGTGATAACTGAATTGAAGATATTGTTTCCAGATTTGGTTTTTGTCAGAGGTCGATCACGTCATCCACAAAGTCAAGGATGTATTGAAAGGGCCAATGGAGTTTGTGTTGTACTCAAGAAATGGATGTAAACAAATAATTCTTCACACTGTTCAGAAGCTTTATTACCAGTCGTGTATGGTATCAATACAAGAATATCAAGTGTTACCAAAACAACTCCATATCAAGTAATGTTTGGATAATCACCTAGGTCAGATTCAGAATTTTGGACACTTGTGGAACAAAATGGGATTGATGAGGAAGAAGATTTACCAGGACCAGTAGCTGAATCAGATAACGAGACAGTGGATAATAAAAAAAGATGATACGATTAATTCCGCTGATGTTATTGATAGTGATGTGGTTAAAATTATTGAAAAATTGTCTGATGATGTTGTTTCTGTCGATCTTACAATTACAAATACTGTTGATCCAAATGCGCCATCTAATTTAAATAAGAACAATTTACTTGATTTAATTGAGGAAGTTGAATTAATGTTAAATGGTTCTGATACGGATCATCAGTCGTATTCATCTAACAGCCGTATACAAGCAGCAGTAACAACAACAAGCTGTCACAAATAGTTATTTAGCTACAGGAAATACAAAAATGAAACAGTATTAAGATAGTATAAACAGTTTAACAGAAAAATTTAATTTAAATGATTGTGTTAGAGTTCCAATTTATACGGTTGATAGAATAAATACGGATGCTAAATATTTACCATGCTTAATTGTTGAAAAAATTGAAAAAGATAAAAATGTTATGTATAAATTAGCTTGTCAATATGGTTAAATTAATGTAGATACTCTGATTTTCCTTGGGTTCTGTTTAGATTGCGCATTTGTTATGATAAATAATTTAAATATAACAAGTAACGCTCATCTTCGATTCACTAACCCTTGACTAAAAGATCCTAGTGCTAAAGAACCCGACATGTACGGTGCGCGACATTCGCAACTCACAGGAAATGATTTTTGTTTTCTTCGGTATGGTTGACTAAAACTACTCGAGTTATCTACTTAAAACTGATTTTGATACGTCTAAAAGCCATTGTGAAAAACTTTTGATCGTTTGAAAATAGTCCAAAATGAGGAAAATATTCATATTACTTCTTCCGAAAGTTCATAAGTAGTTTCCTCTGGCTCCCCTCAGGAAGTTTGAAAAGCTAACTCTGGCTGGCACCTAAGAAACAAATATGCTCTCAAAATATTCCCAAAACGAGCAAACCAGACCAGCTAGCAGACGCTGAGATACGCGTCAACACTAAACATTCTAATCAACATCAACGAACAAGTCACTGCCAACCGTTTCGGCAGTTCTTCCCTCATTCTGAACTGCAGAAAGACTTACTCCGAAAAGAACTTCCAAACAATCAATAAACAAACCGCTAACTCGAAAACACAAGATACAGTCCGCTCCAAAACAAAACTAATACCAAAAACAAATGACAAAAAGTATGAGTGACACAACATTACCAAAACCTCAGTACTCCGTAAACGAATCTGCAACACAGCAACAGTATATGACTTCCGACACTCTAGAAAGAACAACCACACAAAACCACAAACACTAACAGGTATTGCACCAGAGCAACAACCTGCACCACAACAATCCATCAACGATACACAGTGACAAAGAAACCCGATACACAGCAACACACATACCCACCTGTCTGTCAAACACACATAATCACCAGTTTCAACAAAACTCAAACCCTGATTGGACCAGATGACGAAAAAAACAAAAGTTCCCATGGGTAAAACATGGAAAATGAATAAAAACTCACCTAACAAACGGCATAATAACGCATATCCAATAGTTCATCATTACAGATCGCCACGAAGTTGGTGCCAGCAGATAAAATATGTAAAATTTAATTTCTGACATTTTCGGTTAGAAAGTCAGATTTATCAGATGCTAGCTTCGCGGTGAAAAGTGTTAGTTATAAAAAATTAGCGTTTTTCTCGCTAATTAACGAAACTGATGCCAGCAGATAAAATATGTGAAATTTAATCTCTGACATTTTTTATTCAGGGCTCGCAGATCTAGGATGTCTTGCTGCTGAGAAAAGTAGTAATTACGTCTTTTTCCTCCCCGAATGTCAATATGTCGCTAATTTACGTTTAAGTGGCGTCAAGTGCCACTACTCTACTATTGCGCACGGACGGACGGACATTTCGTTTGTATGACCCAAGACTTTCAGTCAAGGGAATGAAGAATAAATCTAGATAACTCTTCAAACAATGGAAGAATTCTAACGTCAAACCAGCTGTGGTTAACGATTGTGAATGTCTTCGCCACAAGAAGATTAAAGAAGACGCTTCACACTACTTGTCTATCGAAAAAACTCGATAGATTGCTATTTTAATTTCGGAATCCAAAGATTGTTGGAGAACAGGATCTTCCGAAGAGCTTTAAAACTACCTTTTACTTAGTGAAAGTTGTAGGAAAGTGTCTACTTTCAGAATCTGAAAACCGCAGATCACTACCACTTTTCTGTCAGAAGTTATTCGAAAAATAGTTACGGAAGCTGTTTGGCGTCGATAATAGTCGAAACACCACATAGCCAATAATCATCGTCTTATCATATACATGCTACATGCCAACACCAAACTTGCAATCACTATTGATCTCAACAAACTTTTATTTCAATACCCCAACAGCACCCGTTATCGTCCAGCTTTAGCTAAGCCAGAACACACTGCTGCTGTATTTTAAAGACAGCAAGTCATTTATGGAAGCGGAAAAGCACTACTCAAGAGCAGATTGGCGGCAACCTTGTCAGAAGAAATTGATGTATAATATTCTCCACCGATTTCTCCATCGATCTAGGCAAGAACTAAGTTTTCGTGATGAATGAAGAATAGACAGGAAATTTTGTAATAATAACCCCGTGCTCAAAAATTTAACGACATTTTTTTAAGTAATTAATTTTTTTCTCAGCTAAATAATGTAAGTAACCTGAGAAAACTTCAGAACATATACTTCGAAGTATCCTCTACAAACTGGGAACGCTAGAGGAAAATCTAAATGGGATCCCCTTAAGAGCAAGAATGTATAGCCATACACGTTCTATTCTATATCTAGACACTTCATGATACTCAAGAAGTTCACAGACATATAGCTGATCGGGTGGTGAATTTAGTGTCTTTCCGTTTTTTTAAGATGAACGCACAAGATCTGTTTATCAGAAAGTTAACCTTTTGGTTACCGACATAAGAGAAAACACGATTTTTCAGAAAAGTTATGATAACTATTTAACGGGTGAGTCAGATTAAACTGCCGGTTTTTGATAGGCTTTTTTCTCAAGTTAGACTCGACCAAAAAGTTTGGTTCTAATGCTAAAAGATAGAAAATTTTGTGTAGATTTTATTGATACGTTTTTTTTAAATAAACACGTACCGTTCTTTTGTTAAACGTATTGGATGTCACAAAAATCTCACTTGCTCAACTACAAAATCGAGAATGTGTAAAAATTAGTTTTGCAGAGCTAGATTGAGTTCAAAAATTCCTTCCTTGTAGTACTCATATCAATACAACATATCAATAAAATCTACACAACAGCATCTGTCTTCTAGCATCAGAACCAAACTTTCTGGTCGAGTCTAACTTGAGAAAAAAACCTATCAGCTACCGGCAACCGACTCACCCTTAATCGGCAATCTGACTCACCCTTTACTTCTGATCCAATTTCACAGAATTGTACGAAATTAACATTAGATATTCTGTAAGGTCTGAAAATCTTTGAAACAGTCGGTAATGCACAACCCAACATTGCATTCAGTACACTGGTAACGGTGATGAGACTAAACGTTGGCTTCTTTGGCCGAAAGTTCCCTGTTGTCCAGCGTCCACCGTAAGATTGAGAGATGCTGATTGCGAAGAATCTTCATCAGAAACATCATCAGTTGGTTGAATCGCCTTCAGTTTCAGATCCTGATTCAGCGTTTGCTAGAATTTAAGCGACTTCCTCACCCAAAAGTTGCGTCCGATGTTGCCACTTTCACGAAACAAATAATGATGCAGAAGGCTTCTCTGACTGACGTTTGCTTTTACGCAAAATGTATCTAAAAAACATGCATTATGAGTGAAAAAGAAAAAGTTCAAAACACTTTTTTGAACGCTTTACAGTTGCAGAGTTGTCCATTGCCCGTTTGAGGTATTAAAAATAATTTACTATTCGCATGTTTCAAATATTCTACGTTTTATTATACTATATTCTACTTACAGAAGAAGGAAACTGTGTAACACTTTTCCCTTCATGGACAAAGCATGGGCGTGAAGGAAACTTTTGCTCTGTTGAGACTAGAATTTTTTTTCAACGAACGCAAGAAAATTATTCTTTATGCTGGGAAAAATGGAGACTTTTTAATTTTGGAGGGGTGTCGCCCTCCTCACCACAAAAACCCCAGTAACGGCAGCTATGGTATTGGAAGAAGTATATGATTCTACACACAACCATTTGAAAGAGCTGAGAGAATTGTTTTCTGTTTGCTTTTGACTAAAATTATGCTACAATTCGTCATGTAACTCTCCCTACTGCCCAAGCTAAAAAAAGACCTTGCATCGCTTTTTTTTCTGCTGCGAAAATGACTAGATGCATCTAGATAACTAGATTCCTTTTACTCATTTAGCTAGATGCTGCTGCTGAAGCATCGACTTATCTTGCTGCATCGCTCGATGCACCGACTCTGGTCCACAAAATAAAAGGGTGAATGCGTCGTTTTGGCTAGTATCCGACGACATCTGTGTGATACACTGATTGATGTATCTAGACGTGCATCGAGCAATGCATCTAGATAAGTCGATGCTCCAGCAGCAGCAGCAGCAGCATCTAGCTAAATGAGTAAACAAAATCGGCCGATACACCGGCAAAGGCATCTAGATATTTCTGCTAGTGAGGTTTTGCTTGGGTAGTTACTCTCTCGAACAATTCAAATCATTATAACTCTGATATGAATATTACTGAATGAGCGCAAACAACGAAACTCATAATTTTAATTGAGCGTGGGTTATATACCGGGTAGATGTAAAGTCCAGCAGGTCTTATTTTCTTGTTTCATTTATTTTTCATTAAGAAAATGCTGAAACAAATAACGACACCACTAGTATAAGCATATTCGTTGCAACAATTAGACGTTTTTTTTCAATTATAGATTTCTACAAACATTGATAAGAGTAAGTAAGTATTGATGAGTGCGTGAACATCGTAAAGTCGTTTACAAAATTTTCAAATATATTTACCTGGGTTAACAGTCATAAACTATTCTGTTTTCGCTGCTGATGGTCCCACTTTGTTGCATAAAATACCAAAGGCCACCCATGTTGAACATTTTTATCGAATACCGCCGGTAAACGAAGTTGCTCAAAAATAGTGTCTGCCACCGCGATATTATCTATACCGGCGGCACATGGGCACTTCGTAAAGTCCCAGTTTTTTAATGGTATAAAAAAAGGATGATTTATGAGCAAAAGAGAAAAGAAGATGAGCAAACTAAGATATTCCCCGGCTGTCTATAACGCTTTTTCATCCAACTGCAATCGATTTACGAATGGCTGCAAAGGGCGCCAAAATGACCAA